CAGATATCTCGAGGTTTATCTCAGTGGCATTGGAGGTCTGAAGCACAGAAGAGCCTTTTGTAGATGCTCTAACCCTTATTCTCTATTATTCATTATTAATATAATGAGTAATACTTACAATACAGTATTTTTGTTACCATTGCATCTTTCCAAACACTATATGTATGTAATTTACGCAATATTCATTTTCTCAGTAATATTTTCACACTGCCCTGTAGTATTATTCAGCAGGTTTACTCTTTGTACAGGGATTGCAATCTATAAGGCAGTCTATAAGGTAGGACTGTGGGCAAAAAATATTAAATTAATGTGCATTATTTCATTTATATAGCATATACTTTTCTTATTGCATTTTTGTAGGCTGGGCTGATACGAGCATCCATTTATTTCAAACATCTTGCAAAATGAGTGAGGAACTGCATCTGAAGGAGATTCCTGCAGAGGCTAATGACACACTCAAACGAACTGCCGAGGGGAAAGATGATCATGGAGATATTGGCCATGTGGATAAAAAATTCAAACCAAATGCAGAAGACACTAATGACGAGCAGAAGAAGCTTCCTAAAAGAAAGGTTGTTTTACTGATGGCATATTCTGGTAAAGGCTATCATGGTATGCAGGTAGGTAGTATGTCGTATAGAAGTCATCCCAAACCAATGCATTTGACATGGGTTTTGCTGGGTTTTGTATTTTTCTTAAGATAAAAAGTTTGATATGTAGCTTGGTTAACAATTTGCTGTTGTTTTTTTGCTTGTCAAGAGAAATCCAGGCTCATCACAATTCAAAACTATAGAAGATGAGTTAGTCACAGCTCTGGTCAAGTCAGGGTGTATACCAGAAAACCATGGCACTGATATGAAGAAAATGTCATTCCAGAGATGTGCAAGGACTGACAAGGTACTGTACCTGAGAATGGAGTGATCTTTTCAGTAATGATACCTGAAAATCACACAATTGTTCTGAGCAAATAATGGGTCATTTGACATTACTATTGTGAGAGACCAATTTGTGGTCCCAGGGATCTACACACAAGTGGGGAAAGTGCAGGAGACTTTGAAGGAGTTTTTTTTTCCTGTCTTCCAACAAAGACTCCATGGAAAAACGTCAATCACTAGTAACATGCATGCTCTTTATATACCAGAGGACCACTGATTACATCCATGTGAGAATCTGCATTTCTCCACCTCTCACAAAGGAGTTAATGAAATTACATGGTGTTTGCATGTTCTCCCAGTACTTGCATGGGTTTTCGCTGGGTTTCCCAGTCTCCTCACATAATCCAAAGATTTACTGGTAGGTTAAATTGGCTTTTGGGAAAAACTGGGCCTGGTGTTCCTGTGCCCTGCACTAGACTGCCCCCCCGTCCAGGTGTGTCCCGCCTTGTGCCCGCTGCTTGCCAGTAGTGGACAGGCTCCGGCTGTGACCCTGTACTGATCAAAGCGATTAGACGGGTGAATCACTTGCTGTGTCTGCAATAATTAGAGGTTGCTTGGCAGTCTCTAGTGGCAAATGGGTTGCAACTGCAGTCCCTTCACCTAAAGGCCTAAAGACAATTGAAATTGAAAGATGATTGACATTTATGACTGGTTAATGAACATTCTTTGAGAAAAAAAACATTCTCTGATATATTCACAGGGTGTCTCTGCAGCAGGTCAGGTTGTCTCTCTCAAGCTTTGGCTGATAGATGATATTTTAGAAAAAATCAACAGACACTTGCCTTCACAAATCAAAGTTTTAGGTAAGTTCAAAGAACTTCTATGATAAAGTTTCCAAACTGGGGAAATCAAGAAGGTTACTTGTATGGATTTCACTGGGGCAGGTGTAGCTGCTCAGACATTATTTTTTTTTTGGGGGGGGGGTTAGTCACTGCTATTTCTTTCAGTGCCTTTAGAAATAGTGTGCACAGTTTTGTAGAAAATGATAAAGGCTTGGATACAGACAGTCACGCAACAGGTAAAAGAATGAACATTTCTAATTCTGAAGCCACTCTGATATGATTATTGTATCAGCTTTGGCTGAACGGCCTCCTCATTTGCTGCATCCTTCTTTATAATATCAGTTATTATAGACTCAAATTCAGGTTGAGTGAATTTCTGACAAAAACTGCAGTGTGTTGAAAGGTTGTGAATCCAACTGTTTGGTTCGCAGGGCTCAAGCGGGTGACTGGTGGTTTTAATTCGAAGAACAAGTGTGATGCCAGGACTTACTCCTACATGCTACCAACTGTGGCCTTTGCACATAAAGACAAGGACCAGCAGGACAGCAGCTATCGGCTTAGCAAAGAGACTCTGGAGAGGGCGAATAAACTGTTTTCGTGCTACAAGGGAACTCACAACTTCCACAACTTCACCTCTCAGAAGGGCCCAAGGGACCCCAGTGCCCGCCGTTACATCATGGAGATGTTCTGTGAGGAGCCCTTCGTCCGGCAGGGCTTGGAGTTCGCGGTCATCAAGGTGAAGGGTCAGAGCTTCATGATGCACCAGATCCGGAAGATGATCGGCCTGGTCATCGCAGTGGTGAGGGGCTACGCAGGCGAGGACACCCTGGAGAGGAGCTGGGGTGAGAAGAAGGTGGATATCCCCAAGGCCCCCGGCCTGGGGCTGGTTCTCGAGCAGGTCCACTTCGAAAAGTACAACAAGCGCTTCGGAAGCGACGGCCTCCACGAGCCCCTGGATTGGAGAGAGCAGGAGGCCAAGATCGCAGCTTTCAAAGAAGAGCACATCTACCCCACCATCATCCAGACGGAGCAGGAGGAGAAGTCCATGCTGAACTGGTTAAGCACCCTGCCCATCCACGACTTTGAAGCCACCGTTTCGGGGGTTCAGAACAGCGGAGCGGGAGCTCGGGTAGGTGAATTCCTGAATACAGGATTGTAGTGAGAGATGGAGCCAACAGTGTCTTTCTAGGTTTATTCCCTTTTCCACTCCCATAATGCAACAATGGACAAGTTTTGTCTTTAATGAGCAAAGCTGTTTCCTTCACTTTCATTGCTCATTTCAGTAGTCAGATTTGATCATATCTGGCATCGAAGTATCTATTCATGCCTTTTTGTTTGGTGAATATAAAAACAAGACCAATATATAAAAATTAGATTTTTAAAATTTTTCTGTTCATGACTTTGATTTCACAGAGGACGACCCCCTTTACCCACTTAAGAATCTATCGTATATGACTGTTTATTTTAAAGAATCTTTTTTTTTATTGTCAGGATGATGAAGACGATGAAGGGAATGACTCTGACTGACCTGTGTTTACATGAATCTGAAACCATTTTCTGCTGCTACCTGCAAAGAGGTCATCTCTTTAAGTGGTGATGTGAAACCAACCAAATAGTAAAACCTTCCCATCGCTTCCAGGAAATAAAGGATTTTTTTTTGTTTAGTATATCAATGTTAAATGATGTTGCTTCTCTCAGAAATGGAAATTCATCAAATATTTTCCATCCGAATAAGATTTTTCATTTGAAACAGGAGATGTTGTTGCCGAGAATATTGATATCAATTATTTTCCTTAACTGATCATTGATTTTGCTCCTAAACCGTATGAATTCAAAGCTGTTTTTACTTTTTTTAAGGACTATTTTAATATGCTTAATATTTAACTAGCATATATCATTACAGTTTTCAAGATGGAATATCTAAAAACAAGCATTTTAGGTGCTTTCAGGAAAAGGATATTTGTGATTTTTATTTCCTTTGCAGCAAAAATGTAGAACAGACATAAAAAGATTTGCTTGTGTAAACATGGTAATTATGATTTTGTCAGGTTTTTTTAATAAAGTGAATTGCTCTGGATGAATTGCTTCATGTTCATTTCTTCCATTTTATTTAACGAGATAGCTAAACGTAACTTTTAATCACTAGAACTACAGTAAACTTTGCACATAAAATGGTAGCTTAGTGGATGCAGCAACAAAATGTGTGTATTTTGGCAATAAAACATTAATACCCAAAGGGGATCTTTTTAACTTTACATCTGACACAAACCCAACAAAGTGCATCACTCAGTCAGTACCATCCCTACTGTCAAGCATGTTATTTCCCAGTCAAACTCCTGACTTGCACCCTGCTGAGAAACCTTTGTGAAAATATTTTAAAATTGCTGTTCATCACCACCCAGCTTGAAAAAAAAGCTAATAGTTATTGAAAAATATTTGCTGCTGTAATTTTCCTAAGGTGTTTTCCCCAGATATTGAGTCCACAAGTCTGAAATACTTAAGTGTTATTTTTACTGTATCTTACCTTTTATAAGTCTTTGGTTTGAGCGTGCATACTTAGTAAAAAGTTACAAGTGTGTTATTTATAAAACAAAATGGGACACGATAGGAAGGGTCTGAATACTTTTGCATGGCAGTACATATTTATATATTTGCAGGAAAATGTTTGAGTTGGCTATAAAAGTACAGAATGGATAAGCTGAAAAGAAATAACAAACGGGACCATAACTAAGCGTTCTGTAATATTACAAAACTACACAACTATACCTTGTCAAGAAAATTCGATTAATAAACGTTTTATATACTTTGTCTAACGTAATTGAAAGTCTGTCTTCTATATTAATATACATATTCAGATTGTTTTCTAAAATCTAGAAAAAATCCTAGACTTCAAATAACATCTTTTTTTTTTACTTCAAATAACATATCAGATGCTCACTCTAATGCAAAGACAGCCAACTTTTCCACCGAGGGGGCGGATCCCCTTTTCTCATTGGTCCGAAAAGGCCAGGTTCTCAATTTGATTGGTTGCTTCTCCTGCCGGTCTCCGGGGTGAATCGATGTTACGTCTGCCTCCTCTAAAAGAAACATCGAAGTACTTCCGGTTCTTCGGGAACAACAGAAGAGAAAAAAAGGGGAATGGCCGCCATGTTACCGAATGGAGGATCTCGCAAGCTTTGTGTCTAATTACGGGGTTTTCCCCGGCAATACCAGATCCAGGATATCTGATTTTTATTCGCGGGGTTTTAAGGGATCCTTACGAGTGGATGAAGCTTCCTGCGGTGTTCCATTTTGTGGTAAGTTATTTAAAAACGCAGGAAGCTGTGTTTGGTCTTGCGAAGCGCTACCGGGCGCAGTGGGAGAGGCGCGTGTCTGCGCGCGTTCCCAGCGCAGGGGGTATCTGGGGGAGCGCGCCCCGGTGTAGATCCGGAGGAAAACAACCTTTGTGCCCGCTTTCGGGGTCTCACCTGGTTGCGAGATCAAAGATACGTACATAACAGTCGCCTTACTACTCTTGCGTGCGCTTGCAAGCCCAGGCCTCGCTCACTGCTTGCTCGCTTGAGATGGGCGATCCTGTGCAGTTAGCGGTACCGAGAATGGGTAGCTTTGTATGAATGGCAGCGTTCGCGGAACAGAAGTGCTCACAGCACGTAATGTTTGTTTTTGTTTTGTTTTTTTTTTTGGCAAAAAAAAGTTTCAAAACTCATTTTCCGTGTCCTCAAGCTTTCTCTACTCTTTCTGTTTTTAAACCTGTCATGTGTGTTTGCATCCCCTCCAAACACCGATGTGTACGAGAGGGAGGGTGTATCTTTGCGTGCTTGTCAGCAGGCGAATTCATTTTTAAGCTAAAGCAATCCACCGACAAGCAGTTTGCCTGTTTAACGTTCAAGATTCCTGCTGTCTTCGCCCGACACCCCTTTCATGACAGCAAGAACAAGCCATCCTGTTTTGACAGCTTCCGCCTGGGTACAATTATGTGCTGTTCCTAATTCTGTCGCCCGCCTGGGTATTTAAATTGTGACCTTAACTAAATGAACCTTTATCGAGATTTACAAGTCGTGTCTAAGATGATCAAGTTGCCGTTTCAGATTGTACCATAATATTTTGTGAAAGTGTACTTTTTTCTCCCTTTGTACATATTTACCGGCGGGAGATGTGATTTTCAGAATGAACACAAGTTACACTGTAAATAAACTACTCTGCAGACCTTTTAAAGAAGCGACTTTAGCTGCGCGTCATATGCAGTCGTCTTTCAAAATCAATCATGTTTGAGTAGTCTAACATCGATTCATATTCTTTTGTGGTTAATTCTGATTTTTCTCAGCGTTCAATAAAAAATCAGGAATGGTATCTGTTATATCCTATTTTGTAAATTGGAAGATAATTTTTTGGGAAAACTTGCATGCCAGTCTTCTTTTTCACCTCTTTTATTTTTGCCTTTTCTGACTTTGTCGAACTCCTGCTGTCTCCCACAGGTAGGTGTTTGATACTGTAACTGGGGACAATGCACCATGGGAGTGGAGCACAGGGTGTCCAGAGGCAGCTCCAGAGGTCCAAATCCTTCACCGGGCCTGAGGCAGAGGAGCAGCAATCGCAGCAGCAACCAGGCACCCTCCCTCAGTCCCCAGTGACCTCGTTCGCCCCCGCCGCCAGCCCGTCGGCCCCTCAGTCCCCCAACTACCAGATCATCATGAGCCGCAGCCCCGTCACGGGTCAGAACATGAACATCACCCTGCAGAACGTCGGGCAGATGGTGGCGGGCAGCCCGCAGATCACTCTCACCACTCTCCCCCTCCAGAGCCCAGCGTCGCCGGGGTTCCAGCACAGCGCCCCGCAGTGGAGATTCGAGCACGGCTCGCCCTCCTACATCCAGGTGACGTCGCCCCTGCCCCAGCAGGTCCAGCCGCAGAGCCCCACCCAGCACAGCCCGGTGCCCCTGCCGGGGGTCCAGAGATCGGTCGCCCCGGCGGCGGGCATTGGCATGTGCGGGCAGAGCCCCACCCGCTTCGTGGACGCGAGCATGCTGGTCCGGCCGTTTAGCCTGAGCGGCTCATCGAACAGCGGGCATTTCGTCTACCAGGACGGGACGGGGTTGCCCCAGCTGGCCTCCACCACCGCGGGGCAGGTGCAGCTGGCCTCCCCCGGGGCGCCGGGGTCCGTGCGCGAGCGCAGGCTTTCTCAGACCCACTCTCAGACCGGGGGCACCATTCACCACCTGGGACCCCAGAGCCCAGCCGGCAGCGGGGCTTCGTCTCAGACTCTGGGAAGCCCCGGCCACATTACCACCTCCAACCTGCCCCCTCAGATCAGCAGCATCATCCAGGGCCAGCTGGCCAGGCCCCCGGCTGTGTTTTTGGAGAAGAGCTCCCAAGTCGTGGTGGCGGGGGTGGGGGGTCCGGCCGCCTCTTTCGGGATTTCCTCCGCCCTGCCTCCCTCCAGCCCGTCCCGCGCCAACCCCCCCCAGGGACTGCCGAACCCGCCGCTCACCCCCACCGGCTCCTCCGGCTCGGTGAAGAAGCCGCCGAAGAAGCTGGAGGAGATCGCCCCCGCCACCCCGGAGATCGCCAAGCTGAGGAAACAGTGCCTGGAGCACCACACCAAGAAGATGGAGGGCTTGAAGGAAGTCTTCAAGGACTACCTGATCGAGCTGTTCTTCCTGCAGCACCTGCAGGGGAACATGATGGATTTCCTGGCCTTCAAGAAGAAGCCCTGCGTTCCCCTCTACACCTACCTGCGGCAAAACGACCTCGACCTCGAGGAGGAAGAGGAGGAGGAGCAGTCTGAAGTCATCAACGATGAGGTAAGTCAGCTTTTGGGGGCATGAAAGCCACAGAGACTTTTGGTTGGAGTTATTTTAGATTCTCACTTTTAGCAGGTTAGCAGCTGAGGCTCGGTTGTGTAGAAAGTTCAGCAAGCAACTACTCCACTTTTTTAAAGGTATTACGTATTTAAGGGTGAACACAAACTTACACAAACTTTGCAAAGTTTGTGTAACTTTTAGTTTTCTAATATTTTAGTTGTCTTTTTTTACCTTGATTGAACTAAATAATTCAAGGTGAACCCAATGTCTGTTGGAAGAATGTTTTATTTATTGGATTGATTGTTTTGTCAATATTTCAGATGTTAAATTTACAAATAAATTTCATCATGCAACTGTATTTTTGCAGCTTTTGAACACATATTCCTATTCATTATTAAATTTGATCCTAGATATTATTATATTTTAATTTGCCAGTTAAAATGATTCTGAGTTTGTTGGGGGGAAAAAAAGAGGCAAGCATTTTAGAATGTCCTCTTTGTTAGGGATTTTTCTGATTTTCTGAGCAGTGACCCGTATTTTTGTGAGTCTGTGCTGGAAGTGAAGATAATTTAAGTTATAAGAGGAGAGAGGACTACCGTAAATGCTGTTTACATTGTCAGCGAGCCACACTTAAAATAATGTTATTGCCACATTACAAAAATGATTAGAAATGAGTTTTCAATAGTAAATTTTTCTTTTAAAGGTTAAGGTGGTAACAGGAAAGGATGGTCAGACTGGTACACCTGTTGCCATAGCAACACAGCTTCCTCCCAATGTCTCTGCTGCATTTTCAGTGCAGCATCAGCAGTTTCAGGTAAAAGTGTTGGACAGCGCCACATACAGCTTTACCACTTGAGATTTTAAAAACCCAGGAAACATGACGGGAAAAAAACCCCAAAGAGATTTAAAAACATAATTGGGATCATTCTGATTCTTATTTTTAAAGCTGTTGCATGGACAGACAGGATCCTGAATTTTACAGTTTGCAGCACAACTATTAAAGATAGTATTGCTAAATAGTGTTTATAATTACGTTTTCCTGAAGTTTACAGGCTTCTGAAGTTTACTTTCTTTGCAATGAGCCGTTTTTTATTGACACCATGTGTGTCCAAAGGCACAGACCTCCAGATATCCATTTATAGTTTTTGATGTAATCCCTAAATGACATTAATAAGGGCTGTCAGGATCATCTGGTTTTCATCTAGTGTTGACCCCAACTTGGTTATTGTTATTTAATTGGCTGCAAGGTGTTTTATGACTTGAATGTGAATTCAGTATTTTGACTAATCAACTATAAGCGTAAGAAGAAAAGTGTAAGAAAATCAGTTTCAGTTTCTGTTGGGTTCATTGTTTAATTGACAGCTCAAGGTGGCTCGAAATGTAAAAGACTTTGGGCTCGTCAATGAAATGAGAGTGAACCAGGTGGCAAGCATCGGCGCCAGCTGTAATGAGGACAAAGTAATGATTGAGCACCACACTTTATCTGTCCGTGATCTGCACCTTGGGCATAGTTCACCATTTTTATTGCCCATGACGGAATTATACGAGAGAATTTCGCTTTCCCCTGACGGACAGTTTTAATGGTTTAGAGGTGTCTGTGAGGAGCAGTTCCTCTTCCTTTAATCATGTGCTTTTTTTACCTCTGCAGGCGCATCAGGGTACGTCAACTGCTGGCATTGCAAACACGGTAGAGATCGAAGCCTTAAAGAGACAGGCTTCGCAACAAACAGGTAGGGCGGGGGTGTTTTGATTTTTGATGTGTTTTCTTTGTTTTCGTTTTCCGTTTCTTTCTTCCCCAAATTGCTTCTGCTTTTTAGATATTCGGCATCTTCTAGCGCTTTGTAGCCGTAAAACCGTGAAGGGAGCGGATGGTTTGTAGACGGTCATTGCTTTATGCCAAGTGTTTGCGTTATCAGGGTATTGTGTGTTTTAAATCCCAGATCAGGCTAAGAGGCCCCGGATTGAAGTTGGTCGCCATGGGATGGTTTTCCAGCATCCTGGTGTAGCACCTTTAGGATCTCCTGGGGTTCCTCTTCAACAGCTTATGCCAACAGTGCAAGGTAGGAGTGCTAATATGAGGCAGTTCTGTGTTCTGTTCGATGCTGCTGGAAGTATTTCAACCAAGAATCGAATCAGACATTACAGAATGCCAGGTACCATCATTGGGTATCACGGAATCCTGTGCAGCATCGTTGGCAGCAGAAATCTAGCACTTAGTCATTGAAGGAAGTGGAGGACTTGGTAGATGGCATGAGCTGTGAGAGTGCAGAGCAGGGACCGGTGCAGGAAGAGGGAGGTGCCACGTGTTTGTTTCCTTTGATCCGTTGACCATTCATCCATTTCGGTTTGGTTTCCTTTGTCGGTGTTGTGCATCTTGACGGGTAGTGTTTTCTGGGCCGCGCTTTGGTTCTAGAAAGGCAAGGGAGTGCATTCAGTCTGCACGTCACGTTGCTGGTTTGTTTTCCCTTTTCCATGCGTCGTATAGAGAAATGCTCTGGAGGTTTCTCTTCATCTGCCATTTGTCTGACGTTAAGCCCATTGTTTTCTGGCCGCTGTCATCGCATCTGTTCAGAGAGCTCGTTTTCTTTTAAGGCATTAGGGAATGGCTTGCCGTGGGTCGGTGAGGTTATTGCTGAGGGGCAGTTTGCGTTCCTGTCGGTCCTGTTGATGTTGGCGCAGAAAGGCTGACGGTTCCAGTGCAGGAGGTCAGATCGCTAGTGCAGGGAGTTTCCCCACTTCTCCAGTGTCTGCAGCTCTGCGCAATCTGCCCTGTGAAAACCAATGTCTGCTCTGCTGATTTCATCTGCTTCGCAAACTGTGTTTTGTGCACCACTGTCTTAAGACTTTAAATGCTCCTTTCCAGCAAGAATGAGTCTGCTACTGCATGCTGAACATGTGATGTTTTGTAATAGTGCTGAATGTTTTTTATAATTTACTTTTAAATCCAACAGCGTCCTGTTTTCCTTTTAAGCTGTGCTGCTGAAGGTGTTGGTTGCATGTGTTTTTGAAATCTAACTGCATAACACTTTTGTAGTGAATGCTTAAGTCTAGATGTTATTGTAAAAAAAAACAACAAAAGAATGTTTGCCTTGAATAAAATACATTTTTCAATAAATATTTGATGACCTCTTGCAGTTTGGAATTGTTAATGCATCTGTTTTTCTCGGGGGATGTTACCCCTGGAAAGAGAGCAACACATGCACAGGAGCAGTGATGTTACCAAACTACAATTGTAGCGTCATGAGGTGTACTGCAGTTTTATTAACATTTTATAGCATAGTCCTAATTGTTATTGCAAAACATTGCCAATAACAAATAATTTTCACTTGTAAAAGTGTTAAATTGTAGGTACTGAGAGAGTGTATAGAAAATGAATACATTTTGTTCTTCCTTACAAGGAGTGTCCAGATCCCCTGACTCTCTTCCTTAGTTTTGATCGCTTAATTTGGGAAAGGCTTCAACTTAATGTTAGCTTGTCCAATTCAAGTAATATGACATAATAGCAAATTAAAAAATAAACAAATGGAAACACTTACGTATGTTTGTTTTTATATTTGGTTTTCATAACCATGATTAAGTTTATCTTCAGCATCTTTCTCCCTTTTAATAATATTGTTTCCCCAGGAATACCCGAGTATCTCTTTTGTAAAACAGTGCTTTCTTTTTAAGAACTGATACAGACTAACAAAAACCAAGCATGCAGGCTTTCTTAAAGCCGTGTTCCAGGCACTTTAAAAGCTTTTCGGTTTTACTTTTAGGCCTTTTTTTTGCAGTCTCCTCTTCTCTAATCCCGAAGCAAGGACACAGCTCCAGTAGTGGGAGAGGATTGCAGAGAAGAGCGCTCCTCAGTTTGTGTGATACTCTGAAATGCTTGAGTAGGCACATGAACGATCCTCTTTGGCGTGACCCCTCAGGTGACTCTTTGGGGGAAAATGCTGAACAATTTGGTTTTATTTTTTTATTTCCTCTTTCCAGGAGGGATGCCTCCGACTCCTCAGGCTGTTCAGATTGCTGGGCAAAAGCAGATTCAGCAGAAGTATGACCCGTCCAAGGGGCCTCCCGTCCAGAATGCGGCAAGTCTGCACACTCCTCCTCCCCAGTTACCTGGTCGTCTGCAGCCCACTAACATCCCTCTGAACACGCTTCCTGCTACCATGCAATTGGCACAGCAGCAGCAGCCTTTAGTGGAGGCCCAGGTCCAGCAGTCGGCTCAGCTCGCATCCCAGGTGAAAGTCCAGCAGCAGGGGCCTGTGCCCATCGCCGCCAACCCTCAGACTCAGCTTCAGGCTCAGCTGCAGCAGCACATACAATCAGGGCTTCACATTCAGATACAGGCCACACAACAGCTACCACAGACTCAGCCCCTGCTACCGCAGGGTCAGACGGTAAGTTTGCAGTCAACCTACATCTTGTTCTGATTAAATGCACTTTGTTTACTAATAGCAATCTAAGAATTGTTGGAGTTCTTTTGTTTTCTCAAGCATTTTGGGTGTTAGTGCAATGTTTTTATTTTCATTTTCTGATTTTGATTTTCATTTGTCCTGGCTGTGTTCATTTTAATGTGTAGATGCTCTGAAATAGTCTCTAAGTCTGACTCAAGTAATAACTCTGATATGGTTTCTCTGGCTTGATGATGACATAAAGGTTGAATGTGCTTGTGGACATCTTGTTAGTCATGAGTAGTGAGTCATGTTCATGTTTTGGAAGTTCTGTCTAATTCTGGCATGCATTTATAGTGTATCTGCATTGTGATTTAGCTCTTTTCTTCTCCCTTTATAATAGACTGTAACTTTGATGCGACCTGCTTCAGAATCAACCCAGGCATGCCAGAGACTTGTGGCAAATGCCATACCTACCTCTTCAATTTCACCAGCAACACTAGCAGCAACAGCGTCACCTTCTATCACTTACCCAGTGCTGGCGAACAGGCCCGCCTCAGGCTTGAGCACGTCGTCCGTTTCCCAGACCAAGCTGACTGGTGTGAACGTCTCTTCTCTTCCTAAAATGTCTGTCTCGGCGCAGGGGGTTACTCCGGCAACGCAGGAGAGCTCTCAAGACAAGCAAGCAGAGCAAGCCAAACTGGTAAGGAAGGTCATGGTGCATTTGCAGAAATCACCTGCCGCTACTTTCTTTTAATGTTGGGAAAGGAATGTTTCGGACAGCTCTTGTTACGCGTGACGATCATCTGTGATATCATCAAAGAGGAGTGGTGTGATTGGATGGAGGTATCGAACCACAGTGTCCATGTGCATGTGTCCGAGAATGTTACAGTAGCATGATCAGGTGTGGCTATTGGTGTGGGCTATGCATGCTTAGAAAAGGGTCAGACTGAATACTGGTCAGTGACTCTGACTGCACCTGCCACATGGGCTAGACTCAGCCCACTAACCATATGATTGACACCCTAGCATTACACGGATTGAAGAGAAATTTGGCAGATTTCATGAGCAACCATAACTACAGTTTGCCCTTCAAGTTGTTGTGGTAAACTACCACTGTTAAAGATTTGTGGCTCTTTTGTGACTTTGCTGTGTGCACTTGCTCCTAAGTTTATAATATGACATTTTCACAATTTAAAATGAGACCTATTTTCCAGTCTGTAAAATGGTTATTAGTCTTCTTGTTCAAATTTATTAACAGATCTAGTATATGAATTTACTTGTTACTGTAATCGATTTTGACCTCAGACCCCCAAGCTTGTAAGGTGTTATTCTATTTCATCCTTAGTTGCCTAGCACTCCTGTCACACTGTTAGAGTAGCAGGGTAAGGTTTTGCTTAGAAGACCTCAAACCTGATGACAGATTTTCTAGTCCTGTGTCAAGTTTATTTAAAACTACAGCTAAAATCTAACATGCCTAAACCCTTGCCAAGATGTAATTAGATTTTGTTAGTAAAAACTTGACCGAGTGCCCATCGAATGGATGTCGCCCCCACAGGAGAACCAGGTGCACCAGCGGGTAGCAGAACTGCGGAAAGAGGGCCTGTGGTCCCTGAGCCGGCTGCCAAAACTGCAGGAAGCCCCACGTCCCAAATCTCAGTGGGATTATCTACTGGAAGAGATGCAGTGGATGGCAGCCGATTTTGCTCAGGAGAGGAGGTGGAAGATGGCTGCTGCTAAGAAGGTAATTCTGTTGTACCAGAGGAAGTGATCCTAAGACTTTTCCTCCACCTCCCGTTGACCCACACGATTTCCCAGTTCAGGAGGCATTTTCATTCTGGTTGTGACTGGAATGAGTATCTTGTCATTTTTAGCTCGTCAGAACCTGTGCTCGTTACCACGATGAACAAAAACAGGTTGAAGAAAGGATGAAGAAGGAAGAGGAGGCAAGACTCAGACGTATTGCATGTACGATCGCAAGGGAGGTGGAGTTCTTCTGGTCTAATATTGAACAGGTGAGCTTTGCAGTTGCCACTGGGCATTCCCACACCTGTCGGCTCTCCCCACTTCGCAGTATAACTGTTTTCTTGGGATTCTGTTTGAGGATTGGTGGAGTGGATTGGCGAGGCCTGTCAAGAGTGTGTTCTCTTTAATCGTGGTTTTTATAGAATGGTTTAGAATTCCGTTTAAAGAAATCCTCGCAATTAAATTGGTTCGCCTGGATTCACCAACAACTACTGTAAGACATGTGAATTGACTGCTGGTGGTCATTTTTTTTTCCAAGGTTGTTGAAATCAAACTTCAGATTGAGATCTACGAGAAAAGAAGAAAAGCGCTTAGTCTGCAGAGAGGAAAAAACAAAGGTAATTTTTCAAAAGTATACATGTGTGTTGATGAACCCTGTCAGACGTTGAGCTCTTCAGTCCATTTTTCAGAAGAATTCTGTTGTTGGCTTGCTGAACTTGAATGAAGTTCAGAGCTGTCTTATCAGCATATTCATGTAAATGTCTGTAAATACCGGCCAGGGTGTCTTTTTACTTCAGTCATTTTGGTTTTAATTGTTTTTCTATATTTAGAAAACAGCAGTGTGAAACTGCATTTTGATGAGTCCTAATAAAGTTTTAAATATTGCTTCAGGGCGACATGGAAAACCTGTTCACCACACAGGGGAGAAGTCAGAAAGGGCCGGCACCATGGTAAGAACCTTTTTTAGAAGGAATTTCTGTGGTATTCAAATAGTGAAAAGTAGTTACTTAACTCACCTTTTTGCCTTGACTTTTGTATATTTGTTTTTTCTGTAGCAGCTATCACCTTCTGGAAGAAAGAGAAAAGTGAGTGCTGCAGTTGCTGATGGCGAAGGTAACTCATTTTACAATTGGATGGGTGACTGTTGCTTGTTGCTGGTCCTGAATAAGTATGATGTGAAGTAAGATATCACAGACCATGGATTCAGGCTTCTTCTGGTCCAGATTAATACAGTAAACGAACTCTTCCAATACTTAGTGACAGAGATGGAGAGGGGATATTACAGTTAAAGTCCTTTTAAATATGACATCCAAGAACTCTCTGGTGGATCGAACTACTATGCTGTCTGGTTAATTCCGATTTATGCGGTTCTATGAGCCAAAAGGTTCTCGCCGTGAAAAGCAGCTTAGGCCACATGACCGTGTCCTAGCACATGTAACACATGTAACAGGATGTAACACCCCCTTTCAATTTCTCTGTTCAAGTTGAAGATGAGGAGAGCACTATAGAAGAGCAGGAAGCTGCTGAAGGGGCCGCAGACCACAAGACTGAGCTTGCCGAGCTGGCTAAAGAAGGTATGGTTATGTACAAAAAGCAGTCATTTTGCAAATGAAGATGCACTTCACTTTGGGGAAGAAAACGAAAACAAACTTTGGAGGATTTTTTCCCCCAACTATATTCGTTTTTTCATTTTATGTACACTGTTTTTATCTGAATCCTGCCTCTGATGGCTTTCAACCAGTTCTGTTGCTTGGGAGATCATTTATTGCTCTGATTCAAGTTCAGAGAATCATAGAGCTCAATCTGTGTTCTGAGCAAGCACCTTCATTGGTTGATCCATTAGCTCACTGTTTTCTTAATTGAACAGACTTAATTGAGAGCAACAGTAACAAGCATGTGATTACTGTGCAAAAAAGGAATGGGAGTGTATGCTTAAGGACAGTGCTTCTATGAGCTTTCAGCTATAATATGTTAAACTTGACATATTTAAGCACTAAAGAATTGAGTAGATGAAGAGCCAGAAATGATTATGCATTGTTTTATTCAATAGTGAAATACAACACACTTTCCTATACCAATCCTTTAATCCCAGAGTATGTTTTTTTTCTTTTTCTGTACTTGATATTTGACTTCATTGTCCCCACTATCAGCTGAAATGCCTTTGGACTCCCTGATGAAGCAGTACGCTGGTGCCTATGCTGAGAGCTTTGAGTGGCCTCGTCCCAGCTCTCAAAGCGAAGATGAAGACCGAGGTACATGGACAAAAGAATATTCTGGGCACACAAACATTGTAGAGGAGTATCACAGCAGATACAGTTATGGGATGTCTTTGAGCCACTTTGAAGCTTTGAATAGTATAGGTTTTGCTTCTCTCCTCAACAGGGGAGACGCTGGCTGAATTGTCCTCTATGCATTTCATTGTTAATGAAACTTGAAAAACATTTAAGTCATTAGCAGTTAATATAATTGGGGAACACTCTCTTGAATTTGATAGTCATTACCTCTTACAAAAGTATAATCTATATGCTTAAAGCGCCTAGTTACTCATGTAATTAAAAAGGTGCTCTGCTGATTCTCAATTGTTTTACAGAGATGGAGGTGGCTTCTTCAGACAGCCCTCAAGAGGAAATCCTCATAGACTCGCTGCTCAGCATGGAGCAGTACAGAGGTGCTGAGAAAATCTCCACCTCCCAGCCTGATGGGAAACCAAGGAAAGACATTACTGAAGTAGCTGCTGCCACTGAACTGATTCTTCCTAAAGGACTTGCCCGAGCCAATGCAATAGTAAGACTTTTCCCCGTTCTTTACTCCCCCTTTTCTACAGCTTACTGTGATTTTTACATTCGTCCAAGTAAACCGTTGGGTGGTTTCTAATGTTCAGTGTTGGCGTAAACATTTTGGCAGCTTTTCATGATTTGTCTTATGAGAGTGCGTTTTTAACCCACTTAACTGTTTCCCAGGTCCGGAATCCAGCACCGTTTCTGCTCCATGGATCTCTACGAGAATATCAGCAAATTGGTGTTGACTGGCTGGGGAGCCTGTATAAGAAAAGACTCAATGGTATCCTGGCCGATGAGACTGGCCTGGGCAAGACTGTGCAGACAGTGGCTTTCCTGGCACATTTAGCTGGCCATGAAGGTATGAGTTCACATCTTGTGAGGTTGCTAAGGTCACTTTTATATTCCATGGGAACCCACAAGAAAGATATATGTTTCTCCTCTTGCAGGGAATTGGGGACCCCACCTTGTTGTGGTGCGAACCTGTAAAATCCTGAGCTGGGAGCTGGAGTTCAAACGCTGGTGTCCTGGATTAAAAATTCTCCTTTATCTTGGCAACAGAAAAGAACGGAAAATAAAAAGAACGGTAATTTTGTAGATTCTTTTTGATAATTCTAGCCGCCGTTTGTGATCTCCATCTTTTGGAATTATATTATTTCTCAGCCTTTTTTGATATCGTTTTTTTTTTCCTGTATAGCTATGGTCAGAATCAAACGGTTTCCATGTGTGTCTGACCTCCTATAAACTGCTGCTGAAGGATCAGAAGGACTTTCTGAGAAAGAGATGGAAACACCTGGTGCTGGATGAGGTTCAATTGATTAAAAACATGACCGAGAAACATTGGGATACAGTCTTTTCGTTGAAAAGGTTTGGTTTGAAAATTATTTTTCATTGTAGGTATTTAAACACTAGTCACATAAAGCACACTAGCCAGTGTGCCAAATGAGGTCTGTTTTGTTTGGAAAAGCACCATGTTTTCTGTTTGGTTGTAAGATAAAAACAGACTGGGGTGATCAAGAATAGCACTCAGTGTAAATGTAGTAGAAAATGTACAGGGTACTATAAATTAACATTTAGAAAAATATTTTAAGAATATTTAAGAAAACCCTTTAAGTGGAGTGTTTGTCATTGCAGTCAACAGAGGCTCCTGCTTATTAACACACCTCTTCAGAACACGTTGAAAGAGCTGTGGACCATGATACACTTCCTGCTGCCTGGTATAACGAGACCCTATCTGGATTTCCCTGTCAAACCAGGCACTGATGAAAACCAGGAGTACTGCCACAAACTTGTCATCCGCCTGCACAGGGTGTGTGGAGAGCCCAGTTAAACATGTCTAAACTTTTCATGTTATTTTAAAGTGAATATGGGAGCATAAGTATGTACGATGCAGGCCAGAATGTGAAGAATCCTGCATCAGATTATTTTGATACGATCAGCGTAGTATGAAATGTTTTTTGCAACATGCTTTTCCTACATACAGATAGGATATGTTTTTGAATGGCCAGTTATTTTTTTTTGTAATACCCAGATGTTTTTTTCCCAAGTCTGGGTTGGCAGCTACAAACTATATGACTCCAACCTTGGTCGCCTTTGAGCCACTCGTCTTTTGACACATCACAGACACCGCGGTCCTGTACTGGACATTCAGTGCTTATTGGAGAGGAGGCACATCCCACATCAACAGCACCACATTCCTACAGGTGCCCAGGAGCCTGCGGGGTTGTGCGCCACTGACGGATTAGGAGCCTTGGCCAACTAATCCCATCTCATCCTTGGTAGATGTGTCATCACTAGGGACGTCTGGTGGCATGACCTAAGCTTAAACCCATGATCATCACTTGGGTGACTGAGGCACTTGGCATGCCTCTAACCATGATTACTTTTGGAGTGTCTGTGTTGCGATGTTTGTTAAAAGCTCACCTTTGATATCGTGGAAGGGTCTTTTCCCTTCCAAGATACTCAGTTTTGGAGTGAGTTACAAAGTTCAAATAATTATTTAGATCTCATTTTTAACTTGTCCTAAGAGTGGTGTGCTTCCTTCTACAGATGATTCAGCCCTTCATTCTGCGGCGTTCGAAAAGAGATGTTGAAAAGCAGCTGCCAAAGAAATACGAGCACATTCTCAAGTGCCGTTTGTCAAATAGACAGAAGCTCCTCTATGAAGATGTAATGACCCAGACTGGGTGAGGGAGTGTTTTTTGTGGTTGAAATAATTTGCCGCTTGCCTGTTTTTAAATTACTGGCTTAAGATTGAATTTTATTTGACCTTTTCTATTCACAGAGCCCAGGAGGCCCTGAAGACAGGTCACTTTGTCAGTGTTCTTCAGGTGCTGATGCAGCTGCAGAGGATTTGCAACCATCCTGATCTTATACATCCAAGATCCACTCAGACAGCCTATGTGTCCAAGGCACTGCAATATACAGTACCATCCTTAGTACTGAGTACTTTTGAACACAGTCTTTGGAAGGTATGTGATGGTTTTGTAACCTTGTTATTATCTGTTATCACCTATGACAGCCCTTTTTGAAGAATTCATATTTGACCCCTGTAAATGTAAAATAAGACAAATACAACATGAAAGTCCTTAAGGAAAATGTGACTTTACCTGTGTGATTGTTAAAAATCTATTCTCTTACTAATTTAAAAACTTTCAGTCTAGAAAATGTTACATCTTTGAAGCTTAGCATAAGTTCAATGGTCAAATCAATTTATTTATATAACTGTAAAAAGTCTCTTTTCTGTGATTTTAACTGATCCCTTTTTGCATTATAGTGATTGAACTGTTTTACCATTTTTAACCACGTTTTCTTGTCACTAGACTGTCGACTTGTCCATATTTGACTTGATTGGAAATGAGAAGAAACTAACTCAGTATGAAGCCGAGGAAGCTTTGCCAAAGCTGAAGGTCTCCCGCAAGTTAATTGAAGAGATTTACAACTCCCCAGACCCTCCTGCCAGACCCAAGCCCTACAAAATAAAACCCATGAAGTACGTGTGGTTGTATTCATGAGCGTTTAATCCCCAATATTAAACACCTATCTGTAGTTTACTCCACTAGAAACAAATTGGAGTTCAGGCCAGTGGTGATCCGGTGCGTGAATGTTTTAGTGGTGAACTGTGGTAAAATTTCAAAGTAACCTTAACTGTGCTGAAACGTTTTGTCTGGCAGGCTGTTCCAGCCAGTGCAATATGGTCAGAAGCCTGAAGGACGCGCTGTTCCTCTCCCTGGGTCCCAGCCCCAGCGCACCTCTACTACTACAACAGTAACAGTGTCCCAGCAGGCCCAGGCCCGTGGGAAATCACCTGTCAGTACTGTCCCCTCCACACAGGGTAAGAGCCAGTGAGACACGAGCTTTCTGAGCCCTCCTCACCTGCCTGCCTGTTGAGATCCCCCAGAGTCCCATACTCTAAGGTCTTTTTCAGAAACGTATATTTGCCATGCACAGCTTGGTGGTGGTTCCTTTTGTGGATAGGGACACAAGAAGTGTTAGAAAATAACCCATTCGACTGTCAAAAGGAGTGTTTCAGAAATTAAGGATGAACGTTTTTTTTTTTTAAATCGGCAGTCATAGGTATTTTGAATAAATTGACCATTCACATTTCAGCATTTTGTGGTATGCGGTTGGCTCCCAAACTTCTGAAATGGAATTGCTCTAATTCCAGTGTATTCTAGAATAAACATCACCACTACTTGTGCGTTGACATAAACCTTACACAGTGGGTAACTTCACAGCACACCTAACAGCAAGCAAACCCCAACCCTTGTCCTTTGCAGTGGCAGGGATGGCATTTCAGAAAGCCCAGACTACTACCACTGCTTCATCAGTCACCACTACCTCTGGACAGCACACGGTTACGCCAGCGGCCTCCATCTCCGGCAGCACATCCTCTTCGACTGGCACAGTGAGCCAGGCTCTGAGCAGCCCTGCAAGTGGTGCTGTGCCCCAGCTAGGCCAGCCTGCACCTGTACAGGTTTCTAGGCCAGCTCAGGTCACAGCACAGGCCCCTACCCATGCCATCCAGCAGAGCCTGATGTCACAGAGGCTGGTACTCACCTCTCAGGCCCAGGCACGATTGCCTAGTAAGTGGCCTCCCCTCCCTTCCACATTTCCTCCCACTTCTGGCACAAAATTTTTTAAAAAGTGATTGTATTGGATGCTGCTAAACTGTCTGGTAAGCTTCTTACAGGATTATTAAATATTTTTAATGAGATTTATTTTATGGATCCTGTTGAAGATATAAGGGATGTTTTTTATTAACAGCAAAATAAATCTTTTATAAGAAGGGGTTAAAGAAAAGAATGATCAATCCCTTTTTTACCCTTTTTGCTTTATTTAATCGTAACATAGATTGGGATCCTTATGTAAATGAATCGACCTCGGTCTCAACTTTAACTTCCTGTGCAAGAAGAAACTTCTGTTGATCACGCAGTGTTTCTTCCTGCTCGTTGCCATTTGCGCCTGGGCATTTGGTCTGTAAATGCTGAAAGAATTGTAATTGTTTAGAGATATCTGGTCCATTAGTGGATGTTTTAAATATATTACTGTATCTTTAGAAAACTTGAGTCCTCGGAAGCAAAGGCACGTTAGCAGCATCCCTGCTCAACCTCTTTCTTTCTTTTCTGTTTCTGATATCTGCATGTTATGTTAGTCTCTCGCTGTGCGGACTCTCCTAAGGATCACTTTGTTGCTAACCTTTTTTATTTTAAATGGTTTCTCCCATAAGGTACTAATCTTTGCGCTTGTACAATCAGCCCAGCCGTCCGGTTGCAAGATGAAATGGGGGAAAGGCGTCTGCTTTTTTCTTTTTTTGTTTGTGTTTGAACCCCAGAGCTGACACTCCCTTACAGCAGGAGTGGACAGTTCTTGGGCACCCTTACACGTGCACTGGCGAGCATGTGGACTGGACTCCAAGCACTTCCCAGAAACACGTCTTTTTAAATGCACAAACTGCCTTTTCAAGAGCAAGTGTCTTCTTAAGTCTGGATTTTTTTAATTGAAGCTCTTTCCTTATTTAGCTGCGTGTGTAATTGTGGTATATATTCCAACGATTTTCTTCTAAACATTTTTATACCACACAGCAGTGCAGAGGATGGCTGAAACATTCTTGAAAGCCAGGATTTATTTGTAGTGAATGTTTGGTTTCATTTCACAGCAATAACATTGCGGTCTTGAAAAGGCGGTAATGTACAAATAATTGCTTAATTGAAATTGTGTTTATTTCAGGTTACTGTTTTTTGTGAACATGTCTGTTTTTTATGGGTTGGTAGGATGGGTCATTTCTTTTCCTTGGATAAAAGATGTTTCTCTGTGTTAACCACCCTATGATTCTGCATGTGTAGAGCTTTCCTCACCATCTTACTAACTAAAAGTACAAGGGATGCTGTGAAATATTTATATCCATTTATCTTTTTTTCATCCTACTACTGAAGGTGGAGATGTTGTGAAGATCGCTCAGCTTTCATCGATTACTGGATCCCAGAACAGGATCTCTCAGCCAGAGACTCCAGTCACTTTGCAGTTTCAGGGCAACAAGTTCACATTATCGCAGAGCCAGCTTCGCCAGCTGACAGCAGGGCAACCACTACAGCTACAAGGTGCTCTAGGTAACGTACAGCAAGTCCCAGAATCCCCCTTTACTTTCTCTTCTAGTCTTAGAATTTGTGCGTAATTTATTTTTTGACTTGGTTCTCTTTGTGTAAATTCTCTCTTAATGGCGTTGTGACCAACATTGGTGTCACAAGTTTGTGGTAAAATGGGTTATAAATACTGAGCTAGTGAGCATTAAGTAGTGCTAAAATGTTTGAAGAAGGCTTTGCTTGACATTTACGTTTATAAATGCTCTTTGTTTTTGGATTCTAAACCTTTTCCAGAGCTGTTCATAGGTTGCTGTATTTTGAACATATTTAACACGGCTGAATCTGTAGGTGTTCACAGTACTTTTCAAAATCAGAATCTTAGTGAGTAGCTATTTACTTTTCTGCAATTCTTTGGTTTATTTGGCACAGGCAATATTCTGCAGATTGTGTCGGCACCTGGCCAGCACCTTCTGAGACCTCAGGGCTCAGTGGTAATGCAGACAGTCCCCCAGACTCCACCAGTCCAGAACCCTGCTGCTCCCCCTGCCAACCAGCCACCCACCACTTCTGCTCCTGCGTCCATCACAGGGCAAGGTAAGGATAAGTGACTGAAGAGCAAGCCCATCGGCTGCTGTTCACATTCGTTGAACTCCAGTGCACGCTGACGAGAATCAACTGCTGGCACCTGTGTAGAGGATTTCTATCCCAGAAGGGCCTTGAACACCACCGAGGTACCACCACTGTCGGCGTGATGCACGGCAGCCATTCTCCACTAGCAGCTCAGCTGCAGAACAGATCAGGAGGAAAAGTGACAAATTGGTTCAGAAGTTGAATTCAAGGTCAATTGTCGGAAGGCTAGAGTGTACAAGCCGTGAGAGGATTTTAGCCAAGACGCTTGGGGTTAACACCCCTATTCTTGCAATCAGTGCCGTGGCATCTTTAATGACCAGAGTAGTCAGGACTTTAGTTTACTCTTTCATCCAAAGAACCGCACCTCCTACAGTACAGTGTCCTCTGGGCACCGCACTAGAGATTTCTGGCTTGAAGTTCTGGTTCAGAGATGGTGGTGCCACCTGCTTCTTTGCTGTTATCCCAGTGGCAACCGGGCCCAGCCTTGCTTAGCTTCTGAGATCTGATAAGATCATGCTACAAGATGGTAATGCTGCTGTCAAAGAAACGTATACAGTATATTAGTTTAATCTTGCGTATCTCCTGCTCAGCCTTGCGACCTGCACGAAGTACCATATCTAGTTCAAGCAGATAGCTGCATCAGCAAGCGTAGGCTGCAAGGGTACAAGTAAAGGTTTATTCCATGCTGAAAAGAGAAGAAAAACACAATATTTCGGCTGTGTGACACCTGATGCCTGAAGAATGCTCCACAGCCGAAACGTTTGTTTTCTTCTCTCTTCAGCAAGGAATAAACCTTTACTTGTTCCTAAGTACCATAAGGTAATTTTAAGTGTCTTTCAGAAGTTGTACTTGGTGGAGCTTTGAAATATATTTCATGTTGTTTTTGTTGCTGTTAAATGTTTTTAGAATTCGTTGTAGCTTTAGCTTACCAGAGTATTTTTTTTTACTTTAAAATCTGTGGTCATTGTATGTTCCCTTTCCTTACTCCAGGAACTGCAGTTGTCGTGCAGTGTCTTGGCATTGACTGGGGATAGAATAAATGAAGCTCCTATACCCGTTTCTATGGATTGAATTTCCTTTAGAAACGGGCGTGTGAGCTTACAAATGTGAGCTAAGCACTTTTTGTGTTGGTCACTTCAGTCTTCTCTACTATGTAGCTTGAGGATTTTTCATGTCCTTGGCTGGCTACTGCCGATTTTGTTTCTCGCACTGTCTCACCTGTTTCCTGTCTTTGTTTTTTTAGCTGCTGGAGTAAAATCTGCTGTCACAGCTGTAACCTCTGGAGACCAAGCAGCAAATACAAAACCCCTTGCAGCTCCACCAGCTGTTTCTCAGGTAAGAAACTGAATACAGTCATACACCGGTATAAGAACGTTGGGTATACAAATTTTTGCTAATCCAAACATGGAGAATTTGTGCCTTTTAATTCATTATTCGAATTCTCATTAAATTTCGCTAATCCGAATTTTTGAAGTTCGAAAGTGACCGATTGTGGCTGAGAACCTTCTGCAAACATTTGAATTCGGCGCCACTGAACAGCTGTTTGTTTCTGCGTGTGTGCAAGGCATTGTGGTTAAGGACCCCATGAGGCAGCAGTGCTTTGTTTACGTTTACAGCTAAATCTAGCTTGTGCTTCCATTTGCAAAGTGTTTTTTTGTGTTCGTTTTGTGGTTGCTGTTCATTATGGATCATCATTAAGAAAAAGATTCTTTAGCGTAATAGTCAACAACAGTATGCACATTGTTCTAGTTGTTCTAGCCTTCTTAGTCAAGTGACCTACTGTCTCTAGCAAAAGGTTTATACTGTTAGATGTGAGCTAAGCACTGTTTTTGTTGGTCACTTCCATCTTCTAAAGTATGAGTAAATCCTAGGAGGATTATTCCTCATAGGTATGCAGACCTTCCTTCTGCATCCAGAAGTCCCCTTATTCCTCTTTATTTTAACATGTCTACTTAAATTGGTCAGGTCTTGAGGTGCAGTTTTAACATTTGTGTTTTTGCGTCTTTGCGATTTGAAATGGCTGGCAATGTCTTGGCTGAAAGGTGAGCAGAGTGGAATGAAACCGAGCCAAAGGTTGGATAGCGTAAAACTTCAAATTACCAGTGACACAGACTACGATTGTGATATGAATCTTATTTGCTAGCGCCTGCTCAAGTACCCACTATGTAGCATCCACATGTTGGTGTGGTCTTGTTTTGTATTATAACGATTTGTTCCTGGCCCTGTGATGGTAGCATGGGGAATGACGGGCTGGAGACGACTTTACAGTTTTATTGTCTTTTTCATTACTGTGGAGCATAATAATCACCAAGTCTTCCCTAATGTCGAGGCTTGTAGTCTGCTGCTGTCAAATTATCCTAATGGAGAAGGCGTGATAAAGTATCTGCAAACATACGTTGATTATTGCAGTTGGATTACCTGGGCGTTTGAATGGGGTAAAGTTACCTGCATGGAGCTGGAGAGTATTTTCTGCAATGTATGTTTTCTTTGTAGGAGTCCTTTGAGGAAAAGAACCGCCTGACCAAAGATCGACTGAACAGGCTCTTCTTGGCCAATGAGAGACGTTGTAGTCGATCGGTCGTTTACGGCAGAGATCTGCTGGAGGCCTGCTCTGTTTTTGAGGTGGACTCTCTGCCAAAACCACTCACCCTGTCTTCTAACTGCTGGAGGTGGATCGGAAGGGACAGTTGCATGAGGGCTCAACAAACATGCGTTTCTGTTGTGTCCCACCTGCAAAAGGCTTTAATCACAGCTGAACAGCGGCAAGAAGAGGAAAAAGACATGGCCAAGAGGTAATGCGTGCATTTTAATATTTCTATGCATCTTCCTCCAAAAATTGTTCTGCATTGCTGATCTAACTTCTTACCGCTTCTTGCCTTCCCATCAGATTTCTCTGCGTAGTTCCACCTGCAGTTGCTCAGCCTCCTCAGCTGTACTCCACAAATCCTCCTCCTCAGTATAGTTTGGGCCTGAAGATGTTTAGACATAGATTTCAACACGCAATGGCGCCCTATTCCACAGAGCTGCGCCGCCTGACTTCTACCAACCTCATAGAGTTCCCAGATCCTCAACTCTTGCAGATGGATTCAGGTTAGATGTTTAACTTTTTATGTGTCTCCCTGATTCGAAGTTTTAGTTGTGTTGAAAACTTGAAATGTAGTACATCTGGAGCTATAATGAACTGGAGGCATAGATGGTCTTTGTATTGCAGACATGAACCTAACCCATTCAGTTATTTTTTACATACAGAAATTAACCTTGGTCAGCAGTATGTAACCCTTTCTGAACAATCGCTCTTGATTAGATTCTTATTTCTACTTTACATTTATTGTCTAGGTCCCATATTCTATCTTATGCAGTAATTGCTAGTCTGATACAGATGTCTGACTTGAGATAATATATCTCTCTTGTGGGCGGAGATTTTTCTGCCTCAGTAGATTCTTGCCTTCTCCACAGTTCATGAATTTAATTCTTCCCTATTCTTTTTCCTTCAGGGAAGCTAGAGGCTTTGGCTATTCTGCTTCACAAGCTGAAGTCGGAGAACCGGCGTGTTCTTATATTCACTCAGATGCTTAAAATGCTGGACATTTTGGAGATGTTCCTGAATTACCATCAGCTTACCTATGTCAGGGTTGATGAGAATGCCCCCCTGGAAGATCGACTGGTAAATATCCTTTTTTTTTCCGTGTCACAGTCATGCCGAAGAATCCCCTCTCCTTACTCCAGGTGCTACTAGTGCAATGTGGTGTCCTGGCATTGTGTGGGGATAGAGGACTAGGCTGTCTTCCCTCCCCAGCTGTAACTCTTATACCTGGGGCCTATAAGAGAGCCAACATGGCATAATTGTAAGTGCTTTGCGGTGATTGCATTAAAAGGTTTTATACAAATTCTATTATTAATTATTATGAAATGCTTTGTACTGGTGTTAGGTATGTGTCTTGTGCTGTGTAGAAATCTTTCTGGTCAAACTGTGTTTTGTAAGTTTTGTTTTATTACCCTGTTTACATCTGTTTCATTTAAAGGATGCCTTTTTAACGTGTGTGGTTTTAAAACCAGATCTTTGATCTCATTACATAATATGGGGATTTTATTTCTTCTCAGGAGCAAATGAGGACCTTTAACAAAAACAAGCAGATATTTTGTACAATCCTTACAAACCGTTGCGGTTCGGCGGTGGGTAGTATCTTTGATGCAGACACCATCGTGTTTTATGACACTGATCTGAACCCCAGCATGGACTCAAAGACACAAGAATACTGTGACAAGATCGGCCGGTCAAAAGACATCCATATATACAGGTAATTAAGAAGTTGCATGAGTGATGGAAGGCTTTGTAGGACATTGAGAACTTCCATACCCCATCAGTTACACTTAAGAAGTCTTTTTTTTTTGTTGGTAAACCTAGTTGTTTTTCCTTCGGTGGTGGTTACAGTCTCATCTTATCCTTGCAGACTTGAAAGTGGTAACTCTATTGAAGAGAAGCTGCTAAAGAATGGAACAAAGGATTTAATCAGAGAAGTTGCTGCTCAAGGAACTGACTATACTCTTGCCTTTTTAACACAGGTAATAGATTTTAATTCAAGTTTCCACGGTCCTCCTCATTATCTAGGTATCCTGCTGCATTTATTAAATGTGCCAAGAAAACAAAATTGTACTGCCAGAAACTAAATTCTTCTCAATTCTCTAATTTAGCTAGCACATGGGCATACACAGTGGCATGTTGTTTATCTTTATAATATCTAAGCTTTACTTGAAGTATTAAAATCACATTGTTTCTTTCGTGTGTTAAGATTTCTTTTAGGCTGCACATGTTCCCTTTATTTACCATGATGTCTGCAGCTACGGTGCACTGTTCTGGCTTTGTTCATGAGTTGATCAGAAAGGCTCTGCTCATACCTCATTGGACTGCTGTTGGTAGATTTTAGAAATGTAGTCAGATACACAGATTGGACTAAATTAAACGTAATGCTTCGTGTTCTCCTTTTCTTTTCTTCACCAGCGGGCAGAGGAGATTATTTATATTAGCCAATCTTAGCTTTAGTTGTTTGTCTTCCAGATGTTACACAGCCAGGAACTATGTGAGTGTCCTTATTTTGTTCAGCTATAACAAGCTGCTTTGGATGTTATATTGTGTTTTCTACGTTTTAGCGGACGATACAGGATCTGTTTGAAGTGGAGTCGGGTTCGGGAGAAAAAGTAGAAGAGTACGTCGTCCTGCACCAAGACCCGTCACCGTCGGAAACCATTTCTCCCCGCATAGCCCGTCCATACATACAGGCCCTGAACAGCATCAGTCACGATGGGGAATCGCAAGCACCAGGCAAAGTGGAGGATGTGTCTGGAACGGAAACGAGCGAGGAGAACTTGGGACAGGATGAAGACGAACCCTCCCAGCTTGAGGAGCTGACAGCTGTCATGGAACAAGTAAGCACCAACACACTCGTTGGAATTAAGAGGATGCTACACTCATACGCATTATGAAAAATGTATTTTAGTGTCTGGATCTAAAACTCTTAAGTCAGCATTCATGAATTTGTCTTTCAGCTTACGCCGATTGAAAAATATGCCTTGCAGTATTTGGAATATCTTCGCTCAAATTCCAGTGGAATTGATGGAGTGGAAGGAAATGCTCAGGTAAATGCAGAATAGATTTTTTTACATTTTATTGAAGGATTAATAAAGAAAACTGAATGTCCATTAAAATTCATTAAATTAAAATCCTATGGATTTTGAGCCCGTGCAACCTGCAAATTTAGTCTACAAGGTCACCTCTTTGACCTTCAAGTGGTTGTCAAACAGTAGATTCTCATTTTTAACTCAAGAAGGCAGCTTCTTAAGAACCAGAAGGACTCTGCTAGTAATACTTTCAATTTCAGGAGAAAATTAATTCTGCTGCAAGAGACTGGGAGATGCAGCAGCAGCAGAATTTTAAGGCTGAGGAGGAGAAGAGACTAAAGCTGGAGGAAGAAGAGGATCTGTTTACATATACCAGAGAAGATGCCTACAACATGGTACATTTTTGTTTACAACAGTTTTTAAATGACAATTTAATGTTCTTCTTAAGAATGATGATTGTACGAGCTTTTTTTGGCAAAGTTGCACAGAAATGTTCTTGATACTGAGAGGCCCTCTGTTCATTATTATGCATTCTCCTCATTCACATGAAGGAAATGAGAACGTTGACATTGTTTTCAATTTAGAATCAGTTTTTGTTGTTGTTGGGAGTTCCAGTTGTTTGTTTTTTCAAGTCTTCCTACCCCCCCTTAACCAATGGAGGTGTGGCCCTCCCACGTTGTAGGAAACGCAAACACTGTGCCTGAGGTGCAGTGCAGATTGGAGGAGAGGCACGTCCCACACCAACAGCACTGCAAACCTGTAAGCGGGGGGGGGCTTCTGGGGTCCCTGTCTTTGCAGAGAGCCATGAAAGACCTGGCCACCTATCCCTACCTTATCCTTGTCCGCGTTATGACCATTGCTTGCCACAGCCTGGGAAATCCTGGTCACAGACCACAAGTGACATGACCCGGTCATTTTGCTAAACCTGCTTTCTTGGCAAATTGTTGGTGTCGGTGATTTTCCCAATCCTGTTTTCAAACTAGCTCATCTTGGATTTGTATGTTTTTAATTAGATTGGAAAACGTCTCTTATTTGACCTTAAAGAATGAAACTCAGAGATTTGTAGTTTATGCATCAGTGCATTGTTCCTTTGCAAGCTTAAGTATTCACTGCTGCATTTTTTTCTCTTCTAGGAATATGTCTGTGAAGGTGCAGATGGGCAAGCAGAAATAATGCCGGTAATTGTGTCATTTTGATTTTCAATACATTTGTCTCTTTTTATTTTAAGTCTTGTCTTTTGGTTTCAACTAATTCTTGCTTTATCTGCGAACGCAGCTCTGGACCCCGCCAACACCTCCTCAGGATGACAATGATGTCTACATTGACTCGGTGATCTGTCTGATGTATGATACGACTCCCATGCCAGAATCAAAGCTGCCGCCTGTTTATGTGAGGAAGGAACACAAGCGACTGAAGATGGATCCATCCGGTAAGGAGCTGGAGTAATAAGACTTTTCTGAGCATCTGAAACAAATCTTGCAAAAAGATCCGTTAAATAGCTAAGCATAGTATGCTCTTAACCTGTATCTGACATATCTGAAATGTGCAGAACAGCTTTATGAGCTGGATGGCTAAGCATGAATAGTGGGGATTGACAGCGTCTGGTGCTTCAGATCTGTGCATGATATTAGAGGTGGCTGGAAACTGTGACCCCTGATGTGGTTTTAGCAAACCTGGGAAGATATGGTGTGATGCCATTTCAGGGAATGATTCTGAAACCTGAGAACAAATGTGTTAAAAATGTAATAAAACCTATAACATACTGAGGGATTTATTTCATTAAAAAAACTGAACATCATCATCCTGTCTGTTCAGAAGCAGTACTGACGTACTTTCTGGGATATATGAGAGAGGCTCCATCTCGTTTTCTCTCACCTTGAGTGTTGGCTGTTCCTATTTGCTAGCTGCAGGCAGGAAGAAGAAACAGCGTCATGGAGAGGCAGTAATCCCGCCCCGCTCGTTATTTGACAAGGCCAGCATGATTAAGGTGCGACGGGATGGCAAAGACCAGAAGAAGAACATCTCGCTCAAGCACCAGGCTCCTTTCGCCAAGCCTCTGCCCTCCCTGGTCAAGCCTACGATGGAGGCAGGGCAGGACAATCCCGAGTGGCTCATTAGCGAGGACTGGGCACTGTTACAGGTAGGGTAACAGTTTGCCAAGAACATGTCTTTTCACTGGGCTACCAAAGAGCTACATATGTAGCAAGGTTTCATTTTTCTGGATGTGCATAGTGGGGAAAAAAATGGGTTATATTTTGTGATACATTTGCAGTTTTTTCCCTCTTTTTTTCTCTTTTCCCTTGCATCGCCATAATCCTATTCTTGTTGAATTAGTAGAATGTAGAATGTTTCTATGCTCCTTATACGTACCAGAGGTTACAGATGTACAGTCTTACTTGTGCACTGTTGCATTTAAGCAAGATGAGAACTGCTTGCCAGAACAGGACAATGGGAGAGTGAACGATGTGTCTCCCATTCCCCTCAGGCCGTGAAGCAGCTATTGGAGCTTCCCCTGAATCTCACCATCGTCTCGCCGGCGCACACCCCTAACTGGGACTTGGTCAGTGACGTGGTCAATTCCTGCAGCCGGATATACCGCTCTCCCAAACAGTGCCGCAACAGATACGAGAACGTCATCATCCCCAGGGAGGAAGGGAAGGTGAGTGTCTGTGCTCGTGTTGGGGACGGGACTAGAAGAGCACCTCCTGTGGTGGTGGGAGGTCTTGGGGATGGCGGTGCTCTTCAGCTTTTGATCATCTGTGATCTGGAGAAGGCTTGATGCATACAGTCACCTTGCATAGGAAAGGCTTTGTTTTTTACCTTACTACCTCTCCAGACTGAACTGTGTTCATTTTCAAATTGGAGCATAGCTGTTTGTTTAAAATAAGTCTGTTATTAAATTGTTTTTTTTTTTATTGCAGCTGGTATACGAAGCAAATCCGAAGAAGAAAACAAAAAGCATTTATAAGGTATGTTTATTACTTAATGATGAATAGAATGTGCTGTATAATGCCATTTGTCTGAACAATTTATCTTAACCTGTAAAGTTGAAAAAATCCCGTAGTTCTGAGATTGACCTGATTGATTTTTTTCGGCTCTTCTTGCAGTCCAAAAACAGCCGACCACTACGGACGTGCCAGATTTACACTCAGGACGACAATTCTACTCAGATACAGCTGTATAGCAGCCGGTTTGAATTGATGAAAATGATAGCCAGCAAGCGAAGTCCTCCTAGCAAGCCGCTGTAAGTATTTAAATTCTGGAGAATACTTTGGGTGATCTGAATTTGACACTTCTTTCTCTTTAGATAAGATAACTTTATTGGCCATATGCAATTTCTCGTATTAGGTATTTGTCGTTTCGCAGACCCCAACTTGCTCTCCTTGAGACCAATAGACAGGGAGCGAAAAGCTTGGGGTCAGAGCACAGGGTCAGCCATTTATACGGCGCCCCTGGAGCAGTTGGGGTTAAGGGCCTTGCTCAGGGGCCCAACAGAGTAGGATTCCTCTGCCAGCGGGATACGAACCGGCAACCTTCCTGCCACAGGCGCAGATCCTTGGCCACAGAGCCACCACACTTCCCCATTTCTCATACATTTCTCTGCAGTCAAAACCCAAAGTTTAAAAAACAAATTGGTGAATGAATTTCTAACATTAATCAGGAGATGTGGTTGTGTATGTTGTGTTTGTAAATGACTCAATCTTATTCTTTTATTTTTATTTTGCACCAGACTGGGTATGAATCCATTTCAAAAGAATCCAAAACACGCATCAGTCCTGGCAGAGAGGTGGGTAGTTTTCTGATGAGAAAAGGTAAATGTTTGCCTTAAAGTATAAATAATCCGGCTAACTATTTTTTTTCATTCCAAAAGTGGCATCAGCTATGATAAGCCGCTGCCTCCGATCCAAGTGGCTTCACAGCGTGCCGAGAGAATTGCAAAAGAGAAGAAGGTGTGTTCAACTTTTGTTTTTTTCACTGTTATAAATATTATAAAAAATATTTAATTTTTTTTTGGAACATGCTAGTTTATCTGGTAGATTGTTGTCTTTACATCAGGCTGCCGTTTTGTCTTTTTTTTGTGTGTTTTGTGGTACTGATGGCAAGAATTTCTTATTAGCACACCAATATTACTGTATTACAGAAAGCAGAAAGCCTTGCTCATCTGCCATAGGACACAAGTAAACCAAGTGACCTGTGTAGGCTGTTGTGCAATAGATCAGATCAGATACAATCACCACCTTAAAATGCAAACTACTTAGTATGCAACTTTGTATACATCAGTATTTATATATTCAAAATGTGTTTAATTTTCTGTCTACTTCAGCACGGGTTCTTTGTTTTTGGATTTGCAGGCTCTGGCAGAGCAGCAGAGAGCTCAGCAGCTGGCGCAACAACAGCAGCAGCAGCAGCAACAACAGCAACAGCAGCAGCAGCCAGGAACCCCCCAGCAAGCTCAACAGCCAGCCCCTCAGCAGCCGCAGGTCCAGACTCAGGGGGCCTCCCAGCCCCCGGGTGTGTCCCAGGCTCAGGCTGCTGCCCAGGCCACCGCTGGCGCCGTCCCCAGCACCGCGTTACTGGTGAGGCTTGCACACTGGCCGAGCAAGAGGGTCTTGTTTTGCAACACTTTAGAAATCCCTTTTAAAGTAAAACAGGTGCAGAACCAAAAGCAGACGCCAGCAGGCTTTGTGATTACGCTGTGATGTCCACACTTCCAGAAACCTCTGCAGCTAGCTTCCTGTTTTTCACAGTTCAGTCCTGCTTTCGGACTTGGAAGTTTTTTTTGACATTGCACAAATGTAAACAAGTTTGCAAATGTTTTCAGCAGGCTGGGGCAATCAAGACTGCGGCAGCTGGAACAAGTATACAGACAGGTAGAAGCTAATTGCCAGTAGATTTTTATAAAATTATTCCTGATTGGTCCTTTTGGATGTTCTTCAATGTTTTTTTCTGGCTCTTGTTTCTATCCAGCTGCTGTGAGCGGAAATGTGATTTTGAATACAGTAGCTGGGGTTCCTGCAAGCACCTTCCAGCCAGTCAACAAACGGTTGACCTCTCCAGTGATACCTGGCACCTTGGCAGTAAGTCCTGAGCTATTTGTGCATCTCCAAAACCACAGCTTTCTAGATGTCGGAAAATGATTGTTGCCGTTTAATTTCTAGTGATCTGACAGAATGGAGTGATACCTCCTCTCATTTTCTTTTCAGGCAGCTGGAGGTGCTGCTGCTCAAGTTGTACATGCTCAACAGAGGGCTATCCCTGCTGCTACAGGTCCCACTGAGATGGTCGCCATAGCAACCAGCCAGGGAGTCAGAACCGTAACCCCAGTAACTGCATCCTCAGTGGTTCCCACCACTCTAACTCCTGGCCAAACACAGACAAGAGCTTTGGTCACACAAGGTACATCTGATAAAAGGGTGGGTGGGGGGGGGCTGTTGAAATTCATCTTTGTTTTCTTTTCACAACTGAGTCTCATAACTGACCAAATCTCAAATGTTTTCATTTACGAAACAATCTGCTGTGAGGTGGTATAAAGAGGGATTTCTCAGCAGTGTTTTCCGTCTGTCCTTAGCCACAGCCACAGGAATGCAGTTGCCCGCAGGAAAACAAATCACCCAAGCTCAACTCAGTATCATGAGACCGCAGCTCGGCGGCTCTCCGCAGATGAAAGCCATGCCCAAAAATCAGGTACAGCCCTGCCTCTTGGATGATTGGAATGATTCTGTTGTGGAAGAAAACTGAAGGCAAAACATTTACCACAATCTAAGACCTGCACTACCTTATTTAGACTGCAGACATTTAGACTGTGGTGGAATAAAAATGAGTTATTTTTTCAGTCAATGAAACATAAACTGTAGTGTTTTTTTTATTATTACTTGATACTTTTCAGATTTTGTATGGCAGCTGTCGAGACCTGAGAAATTCTTAATTCATATCCTTTAAACGCCATGGCTTCTCCTATTGTGATTTTCCTCCCATTCAAATGATTGCCTGTTTGCAGGAGCTGCTAAAGGCACAGATGCAAAAGCAGAAAGTGCAGCTGGTGCAGCAGCAGCAACAGGCGACGTTAGCTGCAGCTCAGCAACAGGGCCAGCAGCCGGGGCAGCAGCCTCAGCCCCAGCAAGCAAACCCCCAGCTCACTGCTGTTGCCACTTCCCGGCATGGGGCAGTGCTCGCCAGCACTCCCGTCGCCAACCTGCAGGTCGCCCGCCTGGTGAGTGCCGGGATCAGAACCGAAAAACATCATTCTCTTTGGGAAAAATTGTAATGTTTCTATTCTGCCCTACTGCCTGTATTCCGTAACAGATTTATACCATTTCCTTTGCAAATTTCTGAAGACATTCTAATAAACACGTCTGCCACAGTCCTCTGTAGGGTCCTGGGTTTGGCTTTTGGCTTCTGTCATCTCTTAGGATTCATATTCAGCTCTTGTCTTTTTATATATATATACATCAGTTTCTTCCCACATGCCAACATCAAGTGGGTTAGGTTCCCTAAATAATTATTAGGGACTGTTGTGCCTAATAATGTTTGGTTGATACTTCTCAAAAGTGACTTAAATCTGTCCTCATTTATACATGTGGGTATTTCACTGGAGCAATCGGGGTGAAGCATCCTGCTCAAGGGTACAGCAACAGCAGTGCCTCACCTGACGTTTTAACCCACGACTGGCCTGTTAAGGTTCTGGGCTCATAATTGTTCCACACTGCTGACACTTTTTCAAGATTGTACTGTTTTCCCTGGTGCTGTGTTAGAACAGTTTCAGGATAGAACTTTTCTCTGGCTTACAGAGACCCACATTAGAATAAGCAACTTTTTGATAACAAATATATTAAAATATGAATGGTGTGTTAGCCATCACAAGAGTGGAAAATGTTAGTATCATTAACATTACTATTCCTTGTAAAATAATGGACCTCATTTGTTTATCTTAAAATATTAGCAAGTATTCTTCACACACATTTTTGCACTCTTCTGCACTATATTTCTTGAAAGTGTTTTAACATTGTCTCTTTTATTGGCTTGGCAACATCTGGCACCGGTTGGGAATATTTGTGAAAATAAGTAGCAAAATACAGTCATTGAGGCAAATCAACTCAAATATCTTCTACTAAGTTTTGTAAAGAAGGCCAAGAGCATGATGGAGTGTGTGCCTAACCCCCTCCATTGTGAACTTGCCCTGCTCCCATCTGGGAGGCCCCTCTCTGTCCCCAGGGGTAAAAGTAATAGACTCGGGAAATCTTTCATCACAGCTGCAATATCTCTCTCAAACAATGTGAAGTAACTCTTACCTCCTATAAAAACTTTTGGACTGTGTCGTAAAACAAATTTTCCCCAGAGGATAATGAAGCTTGAATTGAATCCAGAAAAAGAGCTACCTTTTACCTTGAAAATGTAATATGCAAATAAATTTGTCATGGGAGTCTGTGATGTACCAGCCTGACATCCTCAATGTGTCCTTCTTCCACTTGCAGACTCGCGTGTCTCAGGGGCAGATGCAGACCCAATCAGCTCCGCAGGTCGCCATCACCAAGCCTGTGGTGCCTATGCCCACCGTTGTGTCTTCCACCGCCCTGCCCGTCACCGTGGCTGGGATCAGTGTGGCAATAGCACAGCCGCCGAAAACAGGTGAGGTGTAGGAACCAGAAGGATGCAACAAGGACCTGACCAGGACGCTTAATGCGGCTGTGTGCAGTTAATGCATATCTGTTTAAAATTCAGTTTTTCACATCTTCAAGAAGATTGAAACCAGGTGAACTTTGAAGATTCTGTTTTCTTAATTGGATTATCAATGCATAAATTAAAGCTAGCTGGCTGTAACAAGTTTCCCTAGTGCAGTGTTTTTTATTAGGATCAAAGTGATTAGTCCTGCTAAAGATGAAATATAAACTTTGCAAATGCTGTGTTCTGATAGTGGGGAAAACACATTCTTAGGCCTTTCTGCTGATGTGCTGTTTTGGTTTCTGGTGCAGGTGGCCAGGTGGTGACGCACTCCTTCCCACAGATGCAGGTACAGCAGGTGCAGCAGATGCAGCAGATTTTGCAGCTGAAGAAACCACCGCAGGTAGCAGCCACTCAGGCAGCCGCCGTTGTACAGCAGAAAGCAGTACAGCCTCAGCAGGGACAGGCGACTGTACAGCAGAAGGTAATTATCTGTAACAGTTAGTGATCCAGTTACTAAAAGTATCTCAGCTTGAGTGATGGCACATTTGAGGGCATGGATATGTTGCATTTCAGGAAAAGCATAAAAATAGCTCTGCTATTTATGCTTTCAGAATTCACAGAGACATTTTTTATATTTGTAAAGTCATGACTATTGTACTGGGAGGATTAAGCATCTGGGAACTTTTTAATTTAGTGGAAATTATCTTTCATCTCCCCACAAAGAAATGTCATCTTTTTTTCTCGGATTTGGATCGAATATTCCCAAAGTGCATTGAAAGCGACATTCAGTTTTTGGGTCTGTGGTTGGAGAAGGGTCTTTTGCTTAACCTTTTGTCATTTTGATTTCCAATAATAGAATCTATGGGGTGTGAGCCTTGTGCTGTCCTGACTTACCGTTGCCTTACTGTTTCAGCTGGCGACTCAGCAAGTGACTGTCCAAGCACAGCAGCCTGCCCAGCAGCAACAGAAAGTTACCTACACAACAACCCAGCTCCAGCCGGCTATTAAGACCCAATATATCACCCCTATGGCCCAGGCTCAGAAGCCAGCAGGAGCACAGCAAGTGCAGGGTCAGCTGCAGGTAAACAGCTGTTTGTGTGCTCTTTATGGTCTGACTCCAGAGACTGTGATGAAAATGAACCAGGGCCTGACTTTTCGGTTAGGTTCATTTCACTGAAATACAAGAGTCTGAATAGATCAAATGAGTTTTAAAGGCTTGAACGGAAACACTTAAAAGATAAAAACGTGAAACAAATATATAGTGGTTTTTCAGTGCTGCGTTTGTTTTAATTGCATCAGTAATCATAGGATAAGCCGCTGCAGTCCCTGAAGGTTGCCAGGTCCTCTGGTTTTCATTCAACCTGTGGATTTAGTTACTTAAACTTTTTACTTGAATTAAAATTAAAAAAGGCATTTTTAAGGTATTTATCATTTGATAATTAATAAACCTGTAATAATAACTTATGTATAACTTAGTAACTTTGACCCTTGAGTTCCCTACCCCTGAAACAGCATGTGTTATATGGGAAAAAGTCAATTTAGTGCTACTGTTTCAATAATACTGTAGACCCTTGTCCAGTGCAGTTGTCATTTTTTGGCATTATGTAAATACACTTTGGAGATATTTAAACATCTTGTGTAATGAATAGGGATACATAAACACAGCCGTAAAAGTAACATTAATACCCTACCTACCTATAGTGATCTGTGTGTGAAATGAAAACATTATAAATAGCACTATAAAAGCATAAACACACATGCCATTTAATATGGTAAATAATTAATCTTTACTTATGAGCAGTGAAGACTGAGAATGCTCATACGTTTGTGCAACTTATCCAGAATCATTACATTTTTCTTTAATGTCATAACCTTAAAACCTTGCTTCTCTACACTGTCAGTTGTGCATAGACAGCTGTCTCGATACAGAAACGGTCAAAGAGTTTTTGACTGCGTCTTCATTGAACTTTTCTCGGTAAGACTGGGAGGAAGGAGGGTGTACTGTGGTGCGGGGTGTTAGATTAATTACTCCAACATTCTAGAGCAAGCATTACCATGGTCATTACATCTGTCAAATGTGAAAAGTTTGACTACGTATTTGTTCTCATTGATGTTTCTTGTGAAACCACTGCTGGAGAAGGGTTTTCTCTAAATTCTCAGAATTAATATTGTAAGCCGAGTATCTCAATAGTGTACAAATAAAGCCAGAAAGCGCTCATTGGCAATATCATTCTTTCATATTTATCATATACTAAGAAAGAGTAAAATGTTTGAAACCATCAATAGTAAGTTGCTGGCAAAATTTAAGACAAAACATTACATGCACAGAAACTGATTCTAAGACCTTTTTGTTCAATTCAAGGTTTCAGCAAAGCTACCACAGATAGTCCAACAGCAAGCTGCTGTGGCCAATATTCAGCAAATGGTGTCAGCTCCACAGCAGGTGAGACGGCATTTATACAAACAAAAATGTTGTAAATTTAAAAAAATATATCTAAAAATGTAGATTCTTTCTGCATCTCTTGAAATGTTTGCTTTCTGCAGTTATAATTCCTTGCACAATTCAGCATTTCGATACATTGCTTCAGACTTTGCTAGAAGGAAAGCCAAAGCTTTTTAATATCCGTTTGTTCTGCAGGCACATTTTTCAGCTCTTTGTTCACAAAAAGAGACTTGCTAGCTTAAGACAGTCTCAGATGCTTGGTGAATACTATCCTGTGTGCCGTAATCAACATTCTCTTTTCTTGTCTGTGCAACACAAAAAGATGCAGGGCCAGCCACAGACGGTGTCCTTATCCCAGGCCACCCCATCCGCCCCCCAGCAGGTGCAGGTGATCCCAGCAGCCACCGCCACGTCCCAGGTGCAGCAGAAACTGGTCCAGCCGCCTGTGGCAACAGCCGCCTCCCCGCAGATCCAGACCCCCCCCCCGCATAGCCCCGCCCAGGCGCCGGCCAGCTCCGACGCACAGAGCCAGCAGCCGGCCAAGGTGCAGGTCAAGACGTCCCCAGCTGTGCGGGTCAAAGCGCCCAACAAGCCCAGTTAAAGGAGTCTGGGCACATACAGTAACTGCCTTTTCACAGGCTGCTGTTCTGATTGAACTGGGTGCATACACACAGACTCTGAGCACCTGTCCTCCTTGTCTTGCGCAGTAAAGGTGATGCAGAATATAAAAAATGATTTAAATTGTGTACAGTGAAGAGATTTTATCCCTACTTATGGACCGCAGTTGTTGGTGTATGAAAGTTAGTCCCACACATGAATTGTAATCAACTTCAGCAGATGTTGGAAAAACAGCTGCAGAAATTGAAACATTGTGTTCAATGAAAACTTTTTACTGACTGTCTTTAATTCTGTCACTGAGGCATTATGAGAAGGTGGTTTTATTCCTTGTATTACAGCTGACTGCTGGTGGTATTAAAAAATCCCACTGAAGGATTACTACCAGATTGTTTCAGATTTACTAAAATTGTTAGTTACTGTAGTATAAAAAGAAAACTGATATATTGTGGGTGTAAAATAACAAAATGTGGTATTTCTAACATTCAGTCTTGTGAATTTCTACATCTCATTCATATTCATTAGGGGTGGGCTGAGGCTTAGATTTAGTCAGTGGGAAGTTGAGAAATTGATGTGAAACTGCTTGTAAAAGGTGTAATTTAATTTCTTTCCTGCTCCTCAGTATTTTTTTAAGTTTCGTCATTCCATGAAATTTTGCCTTTTTTATTTTCTGTGCTGTGAAAATACTGAAATTTCCCTCGATAGTGAAACTGTCCATGTTGTGGTATCTTGTTTTTTTAATAATACCACAAAAAATCTATTTCACCCATATGAGGTGGGAAACAGATTTTTTTTTAATCATCTGGAAGCTTAACATTTTAAGTGCTTAAAGAAAAATTTAAGGTTACCACAGCCTGAGGACGTTAGGAAATTGTATCTATATTTGTATGAATTGTTTGCAAATCTGTATGTTCATACAGTTCAAGCAGTGAAATATTTAAGGTGTAACTTGACACCGGGGGGGGTTCAATAAGTAATCAATTGAAGGATAGTCAACAGATGGGTTAAGTAGTAGCTGACATTACAATTAATTAATTAACACATTTATTTTGTGTTATGGCTGTTCACTTACCAGAATTCTTCTGTTTCAATACTGAAACATGTCTTGTAAAAAATGCCGGCACAGTACTTCATTTGGGGAGGGGGGGTCGTTCAAAAAAGGTGAACATGCGGTATTGATTTTTGCCCCAGCTTAATTCAGTCTTCAGGGTGGTTGTCGTTTTAACATGCTGTAAAAAAAGACAGCAAAATATATTTGTTTTTCCTATTGTTTAACCATTTAATTGGATATTTCTTTTATATTTTTGTAAATATTCATTGCTGAGGACAGATTCTTATATTTTCTGTTTTGACATTATAAGTGTATCTTGTTGCTTTATGGGACTTGTGTAAATAACCTGTGAAGATCAAAGTAACAGAATTTGTACTTGTAAAGTAGCATTTCCATTTTTTCCAGCCTAATTGTAATAAATTGTAAGTTTTTTTAACGTGTTCTGTTTTCATTATCAGATGGCCATGGGCCAATTAGATTACCTAATCTAGGGGGTGACATT